GGGGAGAACGTGTCCATCATATAAAATGTCGTACATAGAGAACTGCATCATGGAGGCATATGTGGAAGCTGTTCATCGCATAAGTACTTAAAATATTATCTAATGATAATGTAATAGACTATATGATAATTCAATGTTAAAAAATAATCATAAATTATATATTGTGCATATGGTGGCTTTAGAAGCGCGTTTGATGGTGGCGTGAATACGTCAACATAGAATATGCTTTTAACCTTAGATCTGAGGTTCTCTTGTTTTTTTGTGGTCAAAATCATTTTATTGATAAGTTATGTCGAAATCGTCGACACATTACAAGCCAAAATGGCTCGTTTAGATAATGAATCAGCCAATATATTGGCTTCTCGTGGAACAAAAGAAAATGAAAGCTTTCGGAAATACGAAGCTAACATATTAATCTCGAACAAAAGATTGTGGATTTCCGTATGTGATTCCTTTTTGCGAAGTAAATTAATTAAAATCTGCGAATCTGAGCATACGAGTAGATCTTGGAAGCCTTTGTCTTTTGACATTTGAAGGGCTTTGATAACTGCCCATGCTTCAGCTGCCAGCGCAGATTGTACCTTCGGTAGATGCCACATGTGTTCTTCCTTGTGTGTTTCAGTCACCTGACGAAACCACCAGCCCAAACCACCTTTTAACGTTTCTTTATCCCACGCCGCGTCGGAGTGGCATATGATTCCGGTGGTAGGTTCCTCTGTTTGAGTTGGGGGATCCGGTAAACGTTTTGATGGAAAGGCTTCTTGAGCAGCTTTCCACGTCTTAGCTTCTTGAATGGATTTTGCCATTACTTCTTCTGCCGTGTATGAAGCATTCTCAAAGATTAGCTTGTTACGCGACGTCCATATATTCCAACATATCCAAGAAGAAAGCGATGCAGAGTGAATTCCACATGGAGGGAGGACGGGTGCTTTTTGCATCTCTGTCAAGACATCCAATATGGTGTTAATGAGTGACCAATTCAGAGGTGATATTGGGGCCAAAGCCCAAACAGATTGAGCCCAACTACATTGAAACAAAGCATGTTCAGTGGTCTCAGGTTCTCCACATCGGGTACAAGCCATAGAATCGCTAACTCCTCTTTTTTGAAATTGTATTCCTACCGGCAACGCATCAACCGAAGCTTTCCATAGGAAAGTTTTGATTTTTGGTTGTGCTTTCCTCCTCCATAGATTTTTTTGCCAATCAAATTTCTGGAAGAGAGGAGTAGAGAAGTCTTTAGCCTTTAGTCCATAGCCATTCTTCGTTGTATACACGCCATTTTTGGTTGGGAGCCACACAAGAGTATCCCTATGTTTTGTTACACCCAGTACTAGTGATCTGATGTGATCTTCATACATCGGCAAGCATGTCCGAATAAGGTCCCAGTTCCACTCATTACTCGTAGGGGAAAGAAGGTCTGAGACCTTGAGATTACGGTATTGTTTTGGAGGTGGTCCATACAGTATCATCGGTTCAGACGTAGACAACCATGGATTTTCCCATACTTTAATGGACTCGCCATTACCAACCAATCAGCCCAGACCTTTAGTCAAAATCTTACGTCCCGCAAGAATTCCACGCCAACCATGAGACCCATTAGAAGGGGGCTCACAAGTCAAGAAAGAG